TCACTCACACCCATCCCCATTATCCCTCTGTCACACACAGGCTGCCTCTCCTCCTACTGCAGGGGTGTCCAAACTTTTTTCAAAGAGGGCCAGATTTGATGAAGTGAACATGCGTGAGGGCCGACCATTTTGCCTGACATTCTTTGAACCATTAAAATTAAATGCAAATTAACTATTTTATGCAAAGTTTATTGCAAACGGCAAACGACATAACACCAACTATACATGTTGTGTCCAAATATATTTATAACTGATTTAGACATTAACTGAGATTTTACAATGTATTCATCTCAATTGAAAAAAAAACTTGCCTACACTAATGTGAAGGGTGAAACTGAGATCTGGACTGCAGTACATAGGCTAGGTCTGGTTCAAAGGCAGTGGTTTTGATGCGCAAAATGTCACGCAGGTGAGAGTCACTTAGTCTTGTCCTCACGCGGTTCTTGTTAAAGTTCATAGCAGAGAATGTCTTCTCACACATATATGTTGAGCCAAACAAGCTCAGCATTTTCTTAGCCAATGTTCGAATCTCTTGAAACCGGCTCTTATCCAGTTGGCGGTAAAAGTTCACAAGAGAGAGCTGTTGGTGACGACTGCGTAACTCGCTGTCACAATGCAGCTCAATGAGCTCGAGCTGCAGCTGATCTGGAGCATCATCGGGGTCAACAGAGAATGGAGAGGAGAAAAGGCTGATCTCCTTTTCAATAGCTGCAAAGTCCTGAAAGCGCCGTTTAAACTCCCCAGCCAGAGATGCAATGTCTGCTGCATACCTGCTCGTTTGCGCACTGATATTGTCCTGTGGAAAACTGTTCATTATTTCCTGCAACGCTGAAAAATGTATGGTATTGGGCTGTGTTTGTGACAACTGCCTTATGAAAAGTTGCAGCTTTGTCCCAAAGGCTTTGAGGTGTGAATAAAGCTGGTTCACCGCTGCATCTTTCCCCTGAAGACTCGTGTTCAGTACATTCAGATGCTTTGTTATGTCAACTAGAAACCCCAAATCAGCCAGCCAAATAGGATCAGATAGTTCTCGCATTGGTTGTCCCTTTGTTTCCAAGAATTCTCCGATTTCCTTTCTGAGAGAGTAGAAACGCTGCAGTGCAGACCCCCGACTGAGCCATCTTACATCGTTGTGATATAAAACATCTTCGTATTCAGCCTGGATGTCCAGTAGAAACTGTTTAAACTGGCGGTGGCACAGGGCTTTAGAGCGAATAAAATTAATAGTCTTTAGCACCGGTTTCATAACATGATCATATTTGAGATGTTTAGCACAGAGAACTTGTTGATGAATGATACAATGGAGTTTAATAGCTTTGCCTCCTTCTTCGATCACCTTGTTACAGATTAGGGTTGATAATCCACTTCGTTCACCAACCATGGCAGGTGCCCCATCAGTAATAATCCCAGTAACTTTGTTCCAAGGCAGTTTCATGTCATCTATGGCGGAACTAACAGAAACAAATAAATCTTTTCCTCTTGTTTGGTCCGTAAGGCTCTGGAGGTCAAGTAGCTCTTCAGTCACATTCATTTCATCGTCCACCCCTCTCATAAAAATCAGCAACTGAGCTGTGTCAGATAGGTCCGTGCTTTCATCACAGGCTATTGAAAAGAAGTCAAAATCCACTCCTTTGGATGTCAACTGTCTCTTAATATCTGATGAAATCTCTTCAATTCTCCGTGCTACAGTGTTACGAGCCAGGCAAATGTTGGCAAACTCTTGCTTCTTCTCGGGACAGATATTCTCAACCATTTTCATAACGCATTCTTTGATAAAGTCACCCTCAGCAAAAGATTTGCAATTTTTAGCAATTAACGTTGCCACCTCATAGCTCGCCCTTGTGGCATTTTCATTTGACTCACGGGCTCTTATGAAAAATTTCTGTTGTGACATTAAAACAGCTTCAAGTTGCTTCAACTTTTCACTGCGGTCGTGCCCTGTAAGCTTGTCGTATGTGCTATGTCTCGACTGGTAGTGTCTCTTGACATTAAATTCCTTATAAACAGCCACAGTCTCTTGGCATATCAGACAAACACAGTGATTCTCTATTTCAGTGAAGAAATATTCCACTTTCCACCTGTCCTGGAAGCGGCGGCCCTCACTGTCAACTTTCCTTCTCTTATTTACAGTCGCCATTTTTTAAAATTGACCAGAAGGGGAAGGGATCATGTGAGCGCAGTGCCAGAGGTTTAATACACTGCCCAAGTAATACACTGCACTAATACACTGCCCAACAAGAATTCTCTTGCCTTTGTGGCTGTTTGTGGCGAAGTCTCTAATGATGAGCTCCACGTGCCTGAGCCCGCCAGGAAGCTGACAGTGCGCAGGGCCAATCACAGATACTGAACTTGAGCAGCTGCGGAGTCCGTCCCTGCACTCTCAGCCCCAAGGTAGAGGGCCTGCAGGGTCAGAGGCGGGCGGAGAGCGCAGGGCACGCTGGCCTCACGGCGGCCCGGGCTTCCCCTGAAGTGTGGAGGTGCAGCATGCCCAGTGTCGCCCAGCTCTGCCCATGGGCTTGGAGGCTTCTGCTGCACGGGGAGCGCTGGGGTCCAGGATTCAGCCCTGGCTCTTACTCCTGGCTTCAGTTTTCAGGGGTGGGGATCAGGACTTCGGCCACTTAGCTCCTGCTTCCAGCCCTACAGGGGTTGCCAGGGCTTGTGGCTTTGGTCCTTGGGGGAGGGGAGTGTGGGGGTTCAGGGTTTCAGCTGGGGGGGGGGCATGCCGGCGATCAGGGCTGCTACTTGGGGGGAGGGGCATGCCGGGGTTTGGAGCTGCTATCTGGGGAGGGGAGAGGTGCGCTGAGGACCAGGGCTCCAGCCTGAGTGGTGCTGGCAATTCAGGGGGTGCCCCATGGATCAGCTTCAGGTTGCTGGAAATTCCGTGTGGGAAGAGCCAACAGGGATCAAGTTTTCAGCCCCACAGAAGGTGCCGGGGATCATGGCTTCTCTCCCACATCCTGAAAGGGCTGTCAGACCCCTCCCCCCTTGGGACACTTGGCTGTAGGGTGCTCATGGGGAGGGGCGACACACCCCTCACTCACACCCATCCCCATTACCCCCTGTCACACACAGGCTGCCTCTCCTCCTACTGGCTTCTTGTCTTTCTGTGTCTGCGCCCTGCCTAAGAGCGCCACTTGCTGGCCACCCCCTGCCGCAGTCACCTGCCAGCCACAAACAGGAGGCTGCTGCTGCTGAGCTGATGCCCACTGACCAGCAAGGGGAGAGCCAGAGCTGAAAATATGGGTCTGCCCCAGGAAAGCTCATGACCTAATAAACTATCTTGTTAGTCTTTAAAGTGCTACATGACTGCTGTTTTTGTTTTTGGTTTACCAAGATCAGACCAACATGGTCTCTCTGTGACCATTTTTTTTAAAAAGTCAGGAGAGCGGCAAGAGGGTTAAAATACGGGTCTGTCCTGTTAAAAATTGGCCAGATGGTCACCCTCTCTATCCTGCAAATGACAACTTACTACACTTACTACATAATCTAGAGATTGTCATGGGTAGTGTGAATGGTTAGCATGAGTGAATCTACAGACAATGAGCTGAAGAGTGGCTATGCTGAGGTCCAGGCAAGAGCCCCAGAGGTTTATGGACTTGTTTACAACTGTGAAATAAAAGAACAGTGTATGTGTGCTCAGGCAGCGTTTCCAGCACTTCCAGATAAGAAAAAGTAACAAGGGAAGACTCTAGCCAAGGACATTGACTTGTGGTGAGGCAAGCAGTGCAAAAACCAGATATTTCTGGATCAGTCGTGAACACACCAGTAAAAAGAAGGGGGTGTCACTAATGGACATCACCCCACCTGAACTGTGTGCAATTAGTGAATGGCATCTGTCTGGACTGGCTCCTGCCAAGGGGATATATACCACACCATTTCCCCCCACAAATTGGAGTCCATTGATTCGGCATATTGGGGTGACGTGCACATCGGACTTCCATCTCAACCAAATTAACCAATATTACCTGGGGTTTGGCCAGCCTCAGAGGGGTTGTGTGTGTGTGTATTTGATTGGGTTAAGGCTTAGATGTAGATTGTTAGTTATTCCATTTAAATATTGCTTTTAATGCCTTTTAATGCTTGTGATGCCTTTTAATGCTGTCTTAATTGCTTAGTACTAAATATACATATATAGAGAGAGCTTTTCAAACTGCTCCTGAATTGAGTGAAATAAAACTTGTTAAAGGTATGTTTAAGATACTGTGAAAGACTCTTTTGTTCTGTGAATGCTAAACCAAATTGGTAGTGTGCTATGGCTTGATCAATCAGATCACAGCTCCCCCTCATGACAAGATCAGCTGCAATGGGTGCATTAGCCACGTCTACACTGCTACATATATTTTAAATTAAATTCAGACATTCCAGGGCTAGAAGGGGCCAGAGTGACAATCTGGTCTGAGCTCTTGTGTAATACAGGCCATACACTTCCTCAACACAATTCTTCATTGACAATATATTTTAGTCTACTTTCACAGGTGGCAGGCAGCATGTGCCAGCATTCTTATATGTCCTTTCAACAGTTGGAAAACCTTTCAGTTTTGTAACAAACAATAGAGAAATAAAATAATTAAAAATAAAAGGCCTGCTGCCTTTGCTCGCTTAGGGTAACTTAGAGAACCAAGTTTCAAGTTAAACAGGAATTTTAAGGTTAATATATGGGTGTAGTTCAGTGTTTACATTCACTTTCCTAAGCACAAAGAGTCACATCCTCATCCGATGTCTTGAAACTGGTGCTGAGTCAAGAAATTGCCACACCAGCCTGAACCAAGTACCATAAATAATAGGGGTTGGGGACTTATTTGTTTTCTGCTTTTCTGGGGTCCAGAAAGCAATATACACATAATGGTTTTTAAAGTACTCGTTCCCTTACTATTAAAAATACTACAGTTTGCTTTGTTCCTTTCTTTTCTCCTTTTCCCTTACAAACCTGATGATGGTAAACTCCACATCTACAAATCACATGACTGTGGGACTATATAATACCAACAGTCTGAGTTTTCTTGGTCACATTTGCTCTAGATTTTGCTTGTCAGAGTTTGCAAACACTCTAAGAAGTTATTTGCCACTATGATGACCGGAGGCTTAAGCGAGAGTAAGCCTGCAACTCCAGAAATCCAAAAGATTGCTGACCAGGTGAGTCACAGCCAATGAAAGATGTAAAACAAACTAACAGCAAAAAAGGGTATGTCTTTAAAGCAAATTCCAGAGAGATTATGGACTGAAGCTAGAATTTATTTTAAAAATCTAACATCCAGCATAGTCAATGAAAGCTCTCTAGACAGCTTCAAAGCATGGGGCATGGAGAAATTGCTTAAGAAGAGATGATACTGACTGCAGTCCAGGAAATTCCTAGATATGCCAAGGTTGGAAGGGACTAGCTAGTCTGACCACGTGGTTTACACAGGCATAGAACTTTTCAATCTCTAATCAATTTACTGTGGCAATTTACTGTTCATTTTAAATTGGGCTAGTTTTTTAATCAAAATGTCATGCAGCACTAAGTATAATGCCATACAGTGGTCTGTTATATCAGTGGTATTACCTTTTATCAACCACTTTTTAATCTCATCAAAAAAGTTATCAAGCTTATCTGATAGGATCAAATTTCCATAAATTTACACTGATTGGCATTACGTATGCTAATTTCCTTTAATTCTTTATTAATTAAGACCCATATCAGCTGCTTCAATTTTGTGACTATGGTCCAGGTCAGATTGGCCTGGATTATCCCATTTATACTCTTGAAATAGTAACACGTTAGCTTTCTTCCAATCTTCTGACCTGATTTTCAGTCTTCTCAAAGCTCTAGGGACATGTACAGAAATAGATGAAAGACAGCAAGGTCTAGTGGTCTTTATAAGCACTAGAAATTGAATCTACACAGCCAATTAACTGCCAGTGAAGTTCAACTGATAGTAGCAGTGATAGAAACACCCGTGGAAACAGGGTTTTACAAGTTGCCATCGAAGCTTGACCTGTACAGAACTGGCTGATGGGGCAGTAAAAATATCAGTGTTCTGTCTACACAGGCACTTGTGTACTTGGACTAGTGGAGCTGCACGGTTGGTGTATTAGGGGTCCCATTTGCTAACGCAGAGCAGCCCAGGGAGTCAGGCTTTGGTTCAGGGCTGCAACTAGAGTCCCATTACTGGGGGAGGGAGAGAGGATAGAAGAGGGGAGTGGGTATTTCAGAGACCCTGGATTCCTCTATTTAATAAACAAATAGCCTTCTAGGAGCCCAGGGGCTAGGTAGATCCCCGGGAAACCTTGGATTTTCAGAGTTTGTCAGGATCTTGCTGTGATTTATAACATTGGCCTTTCCGATAATGATTTAAGGCCCCTTGAAGGTTGCTTGGGCTTGGGGGTCTGGAGGAGGGAAATACCCTGCGACTGCCTGGCTCAGCTGTGGACTCACTATGTGACCAAAGGCAAATCACGTTACCTCTCTGTGCTTCAACTTCCTCAGCTCTAAAAGGAGGACTGAAGGGGGAGGAGGGAGACTGACACGTCCCTTCCTGAAATGGGGACCGTAAAGTTGAATTCATGTTAATAAGACATATTGAGAGCCTTCCTCAAAAGGCAACATGGAAGTACGAGACATTGGTGGTGTTGTGTGCACGCATTGTAGAAATGTAACAGGCTCTTTCTCTCAAAAAAAATAACCAATTTTTAGAAGCCAAGTTTAAATCTGCAGACAGCACGTATCAGAAATGAGGCCACAATACTCGGTTTTCAGTGAACACAAATGTGTCACAAAGGTGAAACGTGAAGTCAGGTTCTGCTTTCATTGCCATGAGGGTCAGCAGAGGGTTTCAAATGTCCCTGCCCGTTCACTGTGAGCAGACTACAGCCTCCGGAGGGCAGCGATGTAGGGACCTGGACGACTTCAGGAAAGGGCCATGCACTTGGAATGATTTAAAGCAGCAGTTCTCAACCAGGGGCCACAAGCAGGTTTCAGGGGACCCACCAAAATAAACCAGAGAGCAGGGCCAGCGCTCGACTTCTGGGGGCCCAGGGCAGAAAGCTGAAGCCGGAGCCCTGGCACCCGGCGTTGAAGCCCCCACAAGCAGCTGAAGGCAAAGGCTGAGCAGTGTAGCTTTGCAGGGCCCCAGGCAGTTGCCTTGCCTACCCGCCTCAGCCTTGGCTTTAATCTAGTTTTCTAATGTGAAGAAAACCAGTTGTTGTGGCACAGGTGTGCTGTAGAATATTCACCACGCGCAGCAGGGGGGAGTCAGAAAGAAGACTGGAAACTCCTGACCTAAAAATATAACAACATTATTCATTGCTCTCTCATCCATTCCAAAAGACGAAACACTTGTGCCACCCCAGCCTTCGTGATCATTTTTTTGGGAAGGGAAACTAGCTGCCAGCAGAAAAATGCCATTGCTGATTGGCTTGAATACGAGAATTGCCTTTACTGCATACGTGCTTTTAAAGAAACGGTCAAAGTTCCCAATAAGCTAATGAATGAAGCACAATGGATTAGCTGCTAGTGCAGTGGGACTGGTTGTCATGGGACAGATGTGACTCCTCTGTCAGCCACAGAGTCACTCTGTGGGCTGACTTTGGGGAAGTCATGTCAGCACTTCTGCCTCAGTTTCCCCCGATGCCATGCGGGGCATATTTGCAGTAGACAAATGCTCCTAAAAGAGGCTTCAAAACAATTAAATCTCAGCAAATAGAAATGGTGTTTTGCCAAAGACAAAGGATTTTAACCCTGATTTCCTCAGCAGATACAAATCACTTTGCACTTTTCATTTGGGGAGCTGAAAGCAGGAATCCCAAGGAGAGGTGGGCAACCCTCTCTAGCTGCACGGAGCCTGGGTGCAGCATGCTGAAATTGCTGAGAGCAGCAGAAGGGGTGGTTCCATGGGAGCCGGAGGAGCGTCTAGTCAAAAACAAGGGTGTCGGGGTTCTGGGAGCAGGGCCATGATTGCAGCATTTGGGTCATGGGTGTAATTGCTGCTTGGGGAGGAGAGCTCCTCAGCCTGTGGCCCCGCCCATACTCCACCCTGCTCCGCCCCCTCCCCACTGTCACCCTCCTCTATTCCCTCCCCCTCCCTGCTCAACTAACATCTGAAAAAACCCCTAAAGAAAATGGAGTATATTTTGCACTGCATGCCAGATTGTCAAAACTGGTACCTAAAGAAAAGCACTAAAAGCATGTCAGCCACAGGTTTTTTGATATACCCTGGAAAAACCTGATATACCGAATAATATATATCATAATATATACCTGATATACCACATATACCAAATAATTAGAGGTATTTGCAAAAATTTGTAAGAAGGGTAAGTCAGTCGTCTTGCTGAATACAACAGTAAATATTATGGAACACATGATGCAGCTCTTCTCTGTTTTACATTTTGTTAATTGGTATTTCTAAGCTGACTTTATATTTGTACTCCTAAGCCTTCCTCAAGCAATACATATTGAACACCTGGGAACAAAGACATTATTTTAAATTAATCAGAGTGGTTTTGCGTGTTCATAACAATGTTCATTTCTTTTAGAAAAGGGAACACGAATGTATTTTGTGTGATTGAAATAATGATAGAAATTCATTTGTCCAGCTATCTGTAAGAAAAGGAGAGTTGTGTCTTTGAAGGGAGAAACATTACTGCAGGGATGAACAGAAAGGACAGGAAGACTTTGGAAGCAAGTTTTTTGTACGATGGTAATTAAAATGAACATGTGTATTTTCGATCTGGGTGGTCTTTTGAAGGATTTATTTAAAACGTATATGTCTGAAGATCCAAGCATGTGGGGGTTAAAGATGAATACCTAAATTGTGCATCTAAAAATCAATGCAAGGGTTGATATTTACAGTTTGCTTTAAATATTTAATTTAAGGGCCTAGTTCTGAGTAAATACGCCATGCTCCACGGTTTGTGTCAGAAACGGACAGTTCATACTTCAGGGTTGGCAAATGGCGTCATTACCGCTTAATGGTTCTTTTAAGCGTTTTGATGTTAGGGTACTAGGTCTGGAGAGCTGGAAGACCTTTAACTTTTTAGTGACTAGATCTGCTCCAGAGAAAGACTCATTAGGCTGCAACAGCCTGTGGTGGGGAGACTTGTGGAAGAGTCAGAATGGGGAGAGGAAGAGAGAAGGGTTTGGGCACTAAAACCTAGGGGGAGCATTGGTTTCCCTTGCCTCTTACACTGACTGCTCCTGATTTGGGGTGAGAGTGTCAGCCTGGGAAGCACTGGAACAGCTGCTCCTGAGTTGACACTCAAGCAGAAGATGCTGCACCTGTTTGGAGCCTCCAATGCGTTACACCAGTGTTTCTCAACCTTTTTTTATAAAGTACTCCTTTAAAAAAATTATAAAGACCCCCAGTACTACACTTTTCAGACACATGCAATTTTTTTCTACCATTGCAACACATTTGTTTAAAGAACTTAATCATAGCCAGGTGGGCGATGAAATGTTTGGGTGTAAGAAGTAAAAAAATAATAAAACGCTGTAAAACGCTTGTTCCTCTGAGACCTCTTACAATGATGGTGTCTCTCCTGCACCCACTGGTGTCATATTTTACAGTTCCCACATTTAGGGGTAGCATGATTTCTGACCCCCACAACAGTCCCAAATTAGTTACAATACACCACATTCCATTCCAACACTGATCCTCCATCCGCCCTGGCTGAATTGGATTTACATAGCCACACCTCGGATTCCTTCCCCCTCCTGGCATGAGCTGGATTTACATATCAACAGTTAACAGTTAATTATCTTGCAAGGCTAAACAACTGGAGTGAGCACACCCACCCCCAGGGCAGCTCCCTCCTTCTAGCTGTCTGATAGCAAGCTGTAATTCAGCCCCGGCTTACAAACGTAAAACAAAAATTCAGTTTTCTCCAAATTTCAGTGGTGTTGACGTATCCCCCCAGACTTCTCTTGAGTATCCCTAAGGGGACTCGTACCACTGGGAGAGAAACACTGTGTTATACACAGACCTGAACTCTGAATTTCTTCTGCTGCGGGAGTGGATTGAAATATTAAGATAGTGAGGCCTGAGGATCCCTGCCCTGCATTGGAACTGCCTCCCAAAGGTTACAGTGGGAACTTCTCTAGCCTGTTGAGTGAGCCTAGGCCCTAAGGCATTTGACCTTTTCTGGCAGCCCTAGTAAATGAGTATTTCATTGGTGCTGTGTATCCCAGAGTTTTTGAGAGCTGTTGCAGCCCAGGCTGCCTTGCAGCTGCAGTTTCTTTAATTTTCTTTAATGCTCTCGCGCAAGACCTTTTGCACAAGCACTCTTGCACGGAACAGGAGACACAGAACAGCTGGCACATTCTGAGAAGGGCTGATGCACCACAGCAATCCAATGACCCCACCAGGCTAGGGTGATCACAGCAGTCCTAGGGAAAAACTAAGTCACTTGATTGTGCCAGATACGACAATCTCCTGGACAAACCATCTTGAATTCACTGTAAGTGTTATAGGAGCTCATTGATTAAAAGTACAATCGTTTCTGTTCTATTGAGGGATTCAATATAATTCCATGGGGGAGGGGAGCCACAGCCGGCTAGGAATAGTGCAGAGGGGGCGTGGTTAGGCAAATTGACTCAAATTGTAAGACCTCCGCAGAGATCCCACCACCTGGGGAGATACTTGCATTTACTGCTTCAACTAGATTCTCCAGAGACCAACTGACAAAAAGGATTTTTAGATAAATAGTTTAAACGGAATCGAGCCTTTTTTCTGACCCTGCAAATGAGCGGGGGCTTGTGTCCAACCTTTGGGGAAAGGCTGGACGGGCCTAACCTACGGGAGCCCTAGGCTGGAGCTGGGGTGATCTCTAGTGAACTAGCTAACGTGTGTGTAGGGCATGTATTGTGTGAATGGTTTCCATGGAATGCTTTTCCTTCACAATCAATGTGCTGGCTTAGGAGGAGCGGTGTGATAACCGGTCGCTGCTGGCTCAGCACTGTTCAGAGCCTGTGGAGAGAAAGCCGTACAGGTGCTGGCCCGCTGAGGCAGGCTGGCTTGCTGGAGAGATCACACAGTAGCTCAGGAAGCTGTGCAGCCTGGACTCCCTGCTCAGGAAAGAAAGAGAGAAGGGCCTTTGCCCAAGAGAGGTGATGGCTGAGGAGCTGTGGGCCTGGAGTGGGTGCCCTTGGTGGCTTCAAGGGGAAGCACAGGTGCACTTGCCCTAGACCGGGGCTACTCAACTTTAGAAGCCTTGGGTGTGTGTTTGGGGGGGGGGGGAACAATGATACTCTCAGCATGTGCCGAGGGCCGCAACTTAAGTGTGGTTCCATAGACATGCAAATATACATGCAAATAGCTTCTTTCACACTGAAGGGCATGAATATAAAGATGAAGCCTTAAGCCGCGGTTCCAGATCCCAATTTGGTCTGTGTGAGCCAGTCAGCACCTCTCAGGCTCTGCCCACAAGGCTAAGCAGCCAGCACTTCCCACAATGCCCAGGTGCTCCCAGCACCTCCTCCCTGGGGGCTAGAAACGCCTCCACTCTGTACCCATCTGTTCCCGCCAGCCCGTCCGCTTGCACCTTTCAGTGCTCACCCTGCCTAGGAGACGCCTCGCCGCTGTGGAGCGTGTTCCCAGTGGAGGCCATTTCAAAGGATCCCACCTGCGGGCCGTTTTTGAGCCCCATGTAAACCCAAATCGCACCGCAGGCCGCAAACAAACAGGCTACGGGCTGCATGTTGAGTATCCCTGCCCTAAACTGCGCCAGTGGGCACTTAGCCTTTGTAAAGGTCGTTAATAATGTGCCTGTCACCTCATTGATGAGCCCCAAACTTCCCTTCCCCTCAGCTGTATGTTACAATGGGAAACTCTCTTCATTCCATGTCACAGTTTTGAAGTCCTGGCACTGAATAAGCTTTTAAAAATCCGCAGCATTTGAAGTGTCCTCAGGGAGACACACATCTACCCAAACCTGCCTCCTGCACCAGCACGTCCTGCCTTTGCCAGAGGGGTGTTAATCCCTGTGAGGCACTCGCCTCTGGGCTGCACCAAACCTGCCTTTGCCCTGCACACTGACAATAGGTGCGCCCATGTGGTATCCAGCCCCTCATTCCTGCACACCCATAGAAATCCCAGATCCTCCATTCCCAAAGGAACAGTGGACCCAATTTTACTTTAAGTCGCTGTTCCTCTAGCACACACGGTACTTGAGTTCATGTAAAACAAAAGGGAATTTATTTAAGGATGGACAGGTTCAAACAGGAACAAGTGTGAGTTATGGAAACAAATTGTTCCATGTTATTCTTAAATTGGGTATACACTTACATTACCTTTCCTAGCTAATAAAGTATATTCCCAGCCCACAAATCAGTCTTTAACCAGTGTTTGCCAGACCCAAGGAACCAGGACCTCTGGAGTACCCTGGCTCAGAGCTCATCAAGATGCCTCTTTAGTTAATATATCATGAGAGTCTTGATATATCATGTGACCTGAGGCCACTGGGGTAGCTCACACTGGAAATGTCAAGGCTCCAGGAGAGTGAGGGAGGAGCGGGGATGGGAAGGAACGAGGATGGGGCGTACTCTGGAAAGGGGATGGGAAAAGGTGGACAAATTCCAAAATCAATGGATGGATGGGGGTATAGGAGGAGATGTTTGCAGAGAGCAGGAGCTTCAGGTAAAAGCTTTCAGGAAAGGCCAGGCAGGAATCCTAGTTTTGGGACGTGAAGCCTGTTGCAGGATCTGTGGAGCTTAGGAAATAGGATGGGAAGCTCTGAGGTGAGTTGAATTGTTTGTTAAGAAGCAAGGCCCAAAGAAGGGAAATGTCTGCTGCATGTAAGTTGATGTACCTTCTTCGGGAAGCTGAAGCATTAAATGTATGATGAGAAGGAGTGTGCTGAGCTTCTTGCACATCCTAACCCTTTCTTTTTCATTATAGGTGAAGTCACAGCTGGAACAGAAAGAGAATAAGAGATATGCAATCTTTGAAGCCATTGAATATAAAAGTCAGGTGGTTGCTGGAACAAACTACTTCATTAAGGTCAGCAATCAACAAAATCCCCTACTTCTTCCAGCCTTGCTAAGTGTTCTACTTTAAGTAGAATGGAGCTGTCATTTGTAGTGGCTTGAGGCGAGACGTTCAAACAGTGATCAAACAATGTTGGGAAAGGTCCAAGATGACTTTTAATTAAGGAAGAGACTATCTCTCATATGATTTTTGCATTGTCTAGCTAGCATGTGTTGGCTGCTATTTCTCTACTCGAGTAGAAAAGGAAAGAAGTGGGTTTTGTGAATCTCACCTAAGTATTTATAAAGCACACGGGGTTGAGTTGGGTCATTTTTGTAATGTGAAGAATGGGACTTAAATTAAGCCCAGGCATAAACAGGTGCAACTCCCAGGGCAACCAATGGAAGTAGCAGCGTCTTAGGGCAGGGCTGAATTTGACCTTGTGAGTGCAGGGATAAGATATCAATTTTTGCTGATCATCAGGCGCATCCTAGTTTGGACACAAAGGCCTGTTTCTGTTCACACATGGGGTGTAACATGGGTTATGTAAATCCATGTTGGATTTAATTTTTATTTTATAGCTATTCAATGGCTCAGCACGGCATCTCCCCAAAACATCCTTTCTTTGGAATCTGCTTAGTCCATGGGTATCCTATGCTCTTTGTCTTTCAGGTTTCTGTCAGCGACAGCACTGAAGAGTGTGTGCACCTGAGGGTGTTCAAAAGCCTTCCCCATGAGAAGAAGGAGCCCAGTCTTACTGCCTATCAGACTGGCAAAACCAAATGTGATGAACTTACCTACTTTGAATGATCTGCTTGGAATGGGCTCTTCTGCTGCTCTTTCTACAGAGTCCCGGCTCATAATGCTCGTGCCAATACACGACTGAAAATAAAAGGAATCTGATTTTCAAACCAAAGTTTGTGTTTCCATGTTGCTTGTAACAGAAGGGTACGTTCATTCCAGCAGTAAGCAACTGCTTCTAACTCACCAAAGGCCCTGCTCTCAAAAACTAAAGAAGGAGCCCACATTATGTCACCCAGGAATTTAAAAAAACAATCAAATCGTTTCCCAAGCAACTCTTCTAACAAATAATAGTGTTGGTGTTGGGGGACTTGTTGTGCTTAAAAGAAGCACCCGGCATCTTTTTCAGGGGGATAAGGCAGCACGCCACATTTATTGAACATACGTAGATCAATCAATACTTTATCAGATGCATATGATACATGACACTCATGCACTCATACACACAAGCACACTCGGTCTTGTTGTTACCAATAGTTGCTCCCCCTAATTGCACTGGGCAGGCGAGTTAGATGGGGGAGGGTAGAGCCGGGTTTCTGCAGATCCGGATCGATGCTCCGATGCTGACAAGACGAAACCCGGGGTCCTCTGCAAGACACCTCACTTTTATAGCATCCCTCTCATATGCAAATATCCTCTCATGCAGCCAGTTAGTTATCACCTTGCCTTTTTTAATGCTGCTTCAAAGAGAGTCCTTCCAAATGCAGGCACTTGCTGCTTGACTCCCAAAGCATCTATATGCCCAGTCTTCTTTTCAATGAGCTCACTTCACAGGTATTGTCTTGGATCTGTCTCCCAGCCTTCTCCACCCTTGCAACTGCTGCTGGAGGTGATCTCCTTTCATTCTCCATTCACACCTCCTTCATTTCAACAGGACAATCAATGAAAGGGGAAAGATCTATTCTACTCCTAGCAAAAGACATTTTTCTTTACCTTAACTATTCCTAAGACCTATAACATAAAGAGCTTGATACAAAGTTTCTATGGAAAAGACAGGATACAGGGTTTCTCTTACTACAAGTGATTCTATAAGAAGGCTTAATATAAAGGCTGTGTTTACACAGGTGAGTTCTTGTGCGAAAACGGCCACTCTTGTGCAAAAACTTGCTGCCTGTCAACACTGGCCGTGCATTCTTGCTCAAGTAAACTGACATTGTACTGTAGAAAATCAGGGCTTCTTGCGTGAGAACTCTGACGCTCCCTCTCAGGAAGAAGCCCTCTTGCGCAAGAGCTCTTCCAGAAGAGGCCAGTGTAGACAGGCAACGTGAATTTCCTGCGCAAGAAGCCCCTATGGTTAAAATGGCCATCAGAGCTTTCTTGCGGAAAAGAGCATATAACTGCCATGGATGCTCTTGCGCAAAAGCACATGCCAGTGTAGACGCTCTCTTGTGGAAGAGTTTTTGCAGAAGAACGCTTCCATAAAAGAGTTCTTGTGCAAGAAGCTGCCAGTGTAGACGTAGCCAAAGATACATCTATAAATATAAAAGGACTTACAAAGTTTCTCTTAATAGAAAGTTATATGAGAATGATACATGGTTATATGGAAATGTTACAGAGATTCATCCACAGACTGGGCAGATGTGCCTGAATGAGTGGGACAGGCTTGGGGTCAGTCAGGGTCTGCATGGGGAAGGCTCCCTAACTCCCAAACAAGCCCCTCCAAAGAAATGAGTCCATACTTCTCCCACCCACACCTAAAAGTCCTCCAGGTTCACTTCCAGGCTCCTTCTCTCTCTCTCAGACTTGACTATTTTCTTCCACTATTTGATCTGAGGAAGTGGGTCTGGCCCATGAAAGCTCATCATCTAATAAACCATCTTGTTAGTCTTTAAAGTGCTACATTGTCCTGCATTTTGCTTCAGCTACCCCAGACTAACACGGCTACATTTCTATCACTAGACTCCCCCAGTCTTTTCACTTGTCTGAGGGGTGTGGGAAATACTATAAGACAAACGTGCTGACAGGTATTTTGAACTAAATTACCAAAACAATTGAAACTGGCATTATTATAGTGTCATATTTTGACAAATAACGTATGCAGAATTTTAATATACTTTGTGCAGCATTTTTAATATTCTGGAGCAGACAAAGCCACCCATATCACCAGTAGGTGAACACTTTTCACACCCTGGCTACGTCTACACTGGCATGATTTTCCGGAAATGCTTTTAACGTAAAAGTTTTCCGTTAAAAGCATTTTCAGAAAAGCACGTCTAGATTGGCAGGATGCTTTTCCGGAAAAGCACTTTTTTCCAGAAAAACGTTCATGGCCAATCTAGACGCTCTTTTCCTCAAAAAAGCCCCGATCGTCATTTTCGTGATCGGGGCTTTTTTGCAGAAAACGCTACTGTGCTGTCTACACTGGCCCTTTTCCGGAACAGTTTTCCGGAAAAAGACTTTTGCCCAAACGGGAGCAGCATAGTTTTTCCAGAAAAGCACTGATGATTTTCCATTAGATCGTCAGTGCTTTCCCGGAACTTCAAGAGGCCAGTGTAGACAGCTGGCAAGTTTTTCCGGAAAAACAGCTGATTTTCTGGAATAACTTGCCAGTGTAGACACAGCCCCTGTGTTGGAGCTGTCAATACTTGTTCTCAAAGGTAACCTGTACAACACCTTCAAATAACAAGTTTGGAAAATTAAATTTATAATACCGCTAGCTGCTAAAAAGCATGAATTTAAGAGGGTCTTTACAGCAATGTGTAATAGCACTTATCTGCTAACGCTTAATGGCCAACTTCAAACTCCTTTTACATAACAGTTTAATCTTTATTGTCCACTCCCTGCAAGTGGTGTCCTAAGACACACATTACTCCTTACGCCTAATAGTCTGTCCCAACTTGAATTTAGATCAAACACACTAAGTCCTGGTCTACACTAGGGAGTTATTTCAAAATAACCAGCGGAGCATCCACATTACCAAGCCTGTTATTTCAAAATAAGCAGCTGGTTATTTCAAAATAATAACTCCTGCTTTCCAGGAGGACTAACACTAGTTTCAAAATAGTTATTTTGAAATGGCGGTAGTATGGACTCGCCACTGCTGCTATTTGAAATAACTACTCCCCAGAGTCATTCTAAGTAATTATGCCCCAGTGCTTCCTGTGGCTGTAAGTCAAGGTAGCGCAGCCACATTAAGGGAGCGTGCCTTAGACTAAGTTCAAGGCTTCCCTGCTGTGTGGTCACGCTATTTTGAAATAGCTATTTTGGATGTTATTATTATTTCAAAATAAGTGATTTCAAAATAATTTCCTAGTGTAGACATGCCCTGATTTTTTCTTCTCTGTTGACCCCTTAGCTCAGAAGCCTGTATCTTTCGTCAGCAGAATTTGGTCCAGTAAAATATATTACTTCACTGACTTTGTCTCTCTTACATCTTGGGAGCAACACAGCTCCAAGGTTGCAAACACATATTAAAAGTCGACCCTGTCACTTTTAATATAGAAGATCAAATGCAGTTGTGGGACTTTTTGCTATAATGTAAATTTACCATTTCCAGGAGGAAAAAAATTCCCTAAATCAGTGCAGTAAATACATTATTTTGTGACCTCAGGTATCACATTGGCAGCTTATGTGACTGTGCAACTTGATGCTTGGTGTATTATAAGAAGTCAGTACCTTAATAAGTAAACTGCACTGAGCTATTTACCAGCACCTTGCTTCCAGGAATACCAGCTCCACCAACACATTCAAACAGTCTGTTTTTGCTCTTAAGCAGGTGTCTGTCTCAAGACTGTCAGCCCTAGATCTGGCATCCACAGCTTGGTGCATAGCTAAGGAATGGCACATAACATACTGTGCTGGCTTCCTCGCCCCCCGCTAAAGTGCACAGGTGGAAGAGCACGAAATGAAGGGTTGATCAGAGGGGTGGCCCCTGTTGCCATTGCCAGTGGCAGCGCCGCTCTGTCAGGGCCTCAGGCCCAGATCCTCAGAGGTATTTAGGAAGCAGTGGGAGCTAAAGGCCTGAAAACCTTTGAGGCTCTGAGCGCTAGACACAGAGTTTGTGGGAGTTCTAGCAATTAATTGCCATGAAAGCATGTGATTCCTGCACAGCACAATTAACACCTTCCTTTTGAATAGGGGACGGGAGCTGGTTTGACTCCCACACCTTCACCTCTCCTCTCTGCAGTTATTAGCTTACAGATAAAGAACCCTTCAAATAAACTGCGAAGGAAAGATAAAAACTGGCTTAAAGGTGTATGTGTGAGTGAGATGACCTTCAAAGTACATCACCTGCAGGTTTCCTAGTCCCATTCAGATTTGTAAAACTGAAGGTTCGCCTACACTGCAAACTTATTTTGGAAAAAGCTATTCTGGAAGAGATCTTCTGGAATAATTTATCTCAAAATAGAGCTTCCACACTACACTGAAGCCTCAAAATTAGTCTGAGGCAGGCTCCCCTAATGTGTAGGTGCTAGGTCATTTTAGAGCTCCAGGAAGCACTGGGGAGGAGCTATTTAGAAATAGCAGCAGTGGAGCGTCTACACACGCCCTCTTCTGAAAGAGCTTTTTTGGAAGAGGCGTTGTTCCTCATGGAATGAGGTTTGCCAACATCGGAAGAAGCCCTCCATTATTTTGATTTTCTTTCAAAATAACACAATTGCTGTATGGATGCTAGTATTGTTTTTCTGGAATTATAGCCATTATTCCACAAAAACGGTGCAGTGTAGACCCACCCTAGAAGTCAATGCCCTGTGTTTGGTGGTCTCTGAGTGAGTGAATTGGCCAAGAAGACTGAACTATCTCCTACCTCTAGAGGGAGTTTCTGCATATCAGGATGGAGGGATTCTGGTGTGGCGAGGCACTGTGTAGGAGAGAAGTTCTGATGCTTATATTATGCCAATTTGGGGACAGATAATTCTTCAGTTTCTGGGGCTGTTAATCTAGCACAAAGATCAATTTAAAGCCCAAAAGAGAATCTTGGAACTCTTGAAAATGGGCAAGTAATAGAATGCCCGGTCATCTTGCTCTGAAATCCTCTTGTAGTTTCCAATAGCACAGAAAGCTTTCTTTGTCAAGTTATCCAGCCTCCTCCCTCATTCCAGTGTCCCCTATGGAAAGGGAATACATTCTCAAGGCAGCTAATGCTGACATCAGACCAGGCTGAATTATGCCCTT